CTTACTCAAACCTACTACAAGATCCCATGTTGTTGTCTTCCTGCCTTTAAGATAGTCCAGTAAATCAACTGAGTCAACTTCCACTTGCAGCAAATGCCAGTTAGCAAGAGCAACCAATTTGACTGTTAACATCACACCACATAATTCAGCCTTCAATGAACAATAAACCACACAAGGGGAAGCAAAGAAAAGCAAACGTTTTACCTGGGAGTCCCTACATATTCCCCCAGCACCAGCCAAATTCCCCTTAAAGCTTCCATCTGTATTAACTTTCAAATAATGCTGATGAGGTGTTAACCAGAACAACATTTTAGGAGTCATCCTCTTTTCCAGCAAATCACTATTTTCTTTTTAAAAACAGAAATACCACTGAAAATTTCGTTTTTACAGAAACAAAAATTTTCCAGTTTATAGACATGCAAGAATATTAGCCACCACCAGATGCACCGACACTCCATCCAAATGTTTAAAGGAATTCCTGGCCATCCACAAGAACCGCATGGCAATGTAAGGAAAATTAACTAAGAAATTATTTTGTTTGCCCTCAGGATTACAAGATGAGCAACAGTCATCCAAATTCCCCCAAACATGAGGACTATAGATGTGAAAGTGCTCACCCAGTCTTTTCTAAATAGCTATAGCAAACCGATAGTTAAAGCAGATGTGTAAAGCAGATTCCTCCTACTTTCTACATAACAAGCATTGTGAAGCAAACCACAATCCTTTGAGCTTTAAAATATCATCATATGACAATAATTTGTGAAAATACCTCCACATAAAGAATGACAGGAGTAAGTGTATTACCCCAAATAACATTTCCCCACCTAACTTGATTATGGTGATGAAGATCCTCATAGAAACTTTTAGCAATAAATTTTTCATTAGGCAATTTAAATATTAAAGCATCTTTTTCCCCCTTATTGTTGAAATATTGGAGATGTACAGTGTATTTACCTCCCCTATCTTATCATTCAGCATAGAGAAGTTCCATTCACCATCCAGCCAAAAATCAGCTACCTTCATATCCATTGTGTTCCTATTTATCTCGTATTGTAGGTCTTGCAAAGCCCAGCTATCCTTCCAAAATAAAATTTGCCTATCTCCAATATCCCAATAAATGTAATTTTCAGCCACATGTCTAACCTTCACCATAGCTTTCCAGATTTTTGAGTCGCCTACTCTGCAATTCACGCAAGTGGAATGATAAACCTTTAAAATATTTCATCTTCATAAATGATAACCATAAAAACTCTCCCCTTCTTAATTTTAACAACTTTATGTAATTTATTTCTGCCATGTGATGGAGCTCTCTACATCCCAAACCCCCTGCCTCCAATGGTTTGCACACAGCATTCCAACCCAATTAGCGCTTATTTGATTTCCCACACCCCCCCCAAAGCCCACAAAAACATATTGAAGCATCTTTTCAATGCTTGTTATGTACTGTTTTCAGTTTAAGTACCTACAAAGCATATATAGGAATAGAGTTAAGCACACTTTTAAGTTAGGTGATTGTCCCCCCATAGAATATAAAATAATTTTTCCAGCCAACTATTCTATATTTATTTTCACCACCACATCATCCAACTGAATTTGCTTTTGTCTCCCACTTAATAGATTCACTCCCAGGTGCTTTAGTGGCAGATTTGTTAAAGAGAAACCAGTGTATTGTGTCTTTCAGTGTGTTAAGCCTATTTTAACCTGTTTTCAACAATAAAATGACATTTGCTTTTATTGAACACCATGTACGAAAGCCCCTGAAACTCATGCAACATGGCATAAAGCTTTTTGACAACCTTTTTCCAAGCATTAGAAAAGATAATGACATCATCTGCATAAGCTAGGTGAAACACCATAATTCTAGCTTCATTAGAAAATTGAATTTTAGGATTCAGCACCTGCAATTTGTTGAGCATTCTAGAGAAATAATCAAATGTTATGATCAAGATTGTAGGTGATAGAGGGTCACCTTGTTTAATACCCCTCTTAGCAGAAAAGAAGTCATAGGTGTTACCATTCAAAAGGATACTGCACTTGTTGCAAGATAACCACCTTCTAATTATGCCACAGAAATTTTCTTTGAAGCCTTTAGATCTTAAAATAGCATATATGAAATCCCAGCTTGTAGAATCATAGGTTTTTCTAATATCAAGCTTTAAGATCATATTACCTCCTCTGCAGGTCCTGTCCAGATCCTCCATTATTTCTTGGGCTAGTAAAATGTTATCTGAAATTTCTCTGCCCTTTAAAAAGACTGACTGGTTTGCAGAGATAAATAAACGAAGATGGTGTTGTGATTTATGAACCATTACTTTACATGTAAAAAAGGTTAAAATGATTGGTCTAAATTGATCCCAATTGACCTTGTCCAGATGTTTTGGAACCAAGATGATTGTGGCAGCAATGAAATATAAACCAAAACCATCTCCTTTGAAATAACTTTGCATGGCTCCAAGCACTTCCTTTCTAATGATATGCCAACATTTAATATAGAAATCAGTTGTAAAACCAAGAGGCTCTGCTGCTTTATTGCGGTCTATGCTTTTTAATGCACATAAAATCTCCTCCTCATCAGGAATGATACAAAGGCTAAGGTTGTTGATATATTCTCTCCTCCCTAAATAGATCATAATCGATTGTAGCATCCAACTCCTTAGAAGAGAACATACTAATGAACTAATCAATAGCACTTTCCCCCAACTTTCCCTGATCAGAAATCAAGTCCCCATTGACATCTTTAATTCTCAAAATAGTGTTTAGATTTCTTTTCTCTTTGATACACGCATGGAAATACTTTATGTTTCTGTCACCTTCTTTAGAATGAGTCTCCCCCGCTTTCTATTGAAGTAGTTCCTCCTCCCATTTAACAGCTTCCAGTAGTTCTTTGTGAGCCTCAATTAGTTCGTTCCCCGCCAGACCCCCTCCCTCATCTAGTGTTTCAAACTGCTTCATCCTTGCCTCTGCCTAAACTACTTTTTTGTGCACATCCCAATACCAACTTCTTAACGCCTTTGCCACTTTTTTATGTAGCTGCCAAAGTACATACCAGTCATTGCCCACAGCATTACATTGTCAATTATCTTTAACCACCCTTTGGAAGACATGATGTTTTGACCAAACATTTAAATACCTGAAATGGTATTCACTAGACTATAGGAAATGAGCCACGGTGAATAGAATGGGTTTATGATTAGAGCCGGAGCTACTCAAATGTTGCACCCTAGATACATTGTAGGAGTTCATCCAAGCTTGGTTAGCAAAACATATGTCAAGTCTTTCCAATGCATTTCCTCTCTTCCATGTGAATTTAGAGCCAGAATATTTCATATATACATATTCTATACATTTTCTGAATTAATTAATGCAAAAATCCTTGTTTTAAATAAGAAAAGTTGATAGGCATGTATTGACTCATGCGGGCAATTCTTGTTGCTCGGGAACAACGTATTTTCGTTTTTTTTTTTTTTGCACTCTAAAATAAAAAATTTGACTTTTTTCTTATGCGTTGAATTTGACAATTGTGGTCTTTCCCAGGAATTTGTGATGCTTCGCGGGCATTGCATGGTCTTATTTAGAAAATGGACAATGAATGAGAGATTTAAATCGCAGTTGATGAGGGTTATTTTTGTCATATTTGGTTGAATTGATCACAAGTCTTTCTTTAGCATTTCAGATGCATCACCGGAGTTCATTTAAGGAAATTGATAATATTTGCGTACTTTTATAATATTTGAGATTCAATTAAAGTTGGATTCCATGACATCGTGTTTGTTGCCCATTGCTTATTTTGCATTTGACTTGGTCGAGTTACAAACCTTATACATAAGTCAACAAGGACTAATAAAAGACTTTTGAAGAACTTAATAACTCGTACAACTTTGATCAAATTGGGTAACTACATCCTCGTATTAACTAAACCAAATTTCGTTCCTCCTAGTGTTAACTAAACCTAAGTTCACGTTAATCTAGGATGACATAATAAAGTGATCTTAATATGGATCACCATCATTCCTGCAACATCAATTATAAGCTAAAGATGTGACATTTGCTCAATTTTAAAGTAAAATTTCTTGTCTTTACGCTAAGTACTAAGCACCTAATGACTAGTGTTAATCAAAATTTCTCTCCATTAATCAAGTGAAGTAATTAACATTGGAGCTTGCAACCATAGGAAACTTGAAATTAAAAGAGGGAAAAATCTATGGGTCATGTGTTACTAAAATTTAATGTCTTAAAAATATTTGACCCAAACTACAAAACTCCTTAGAAGAGTTGCACAAAAAATTTTGGAGCTCATGGGAAAAGATAATAGAAAGTGTTTTCACCTTGGCTCTAGGATTTTAACTATTATTAAGGTTGAGACTTCCTAAAGTCACAAAGTTCTTTTGTTAACGAGGATGGGTCCACTTCACACACTTCATTATTTTGAGAATTAGCAATTTAGCAAACCTGACCACGAAGATGATTACAATCTTATTTAAGTCAATGTCATTCAAATCTTCCAAATCATGTAATTTGAGCTTAAGCTGCTCCCCACTCGGATGGGATTCTAAACACATCAGGAGGGTTAGTTAGGTGAAAAAAGTGACATATTTATTGCATTCTGATTCCATTTCTCAAGAAAATGGCTTCCCTATTATCCTTGTATAAGATCATGCTGGCTAAACCACATATGGAGATCAATAAATTCATCAATCCTATTTCCCCTTGACCATAAAAAAAAAGCCGAGTCCTCTTTCCAAATCCTCCGGAGAAAAACATATATAGCAACTGATAAAAAGGATGCCTAGCTACAATATTGGTTTAAATTTTTGAACCGACCAATCATTTTAGCCGATATAATTCATATGCTTTTCAATCACAATTTCAAAATTCAAAAGCACTTCAAATTAGTAATCGGCAGCAGTGCAACAGGGAAAGAAATCAAAGCAAATATTTCATTAAATGAAAAAAAAATAACAGAAAAAAAAAAATCTCTGACGGATAGAATAGATACTTACGCCGTACAATGAAGCACCAGCCTTAAATGTTTCCCTGAAAGCTAGGCAAGCTAGTGTGGTGTATCCACCAGCTGACCTGCCAGTCATACAGAGTCGTTCCTCATCCACGTTTCCTTTATCAGCCTAGAAGATCAGATTAAATTAGTTGCAATTTAATAAATCAGCCCGGTAATCCATTGAAAATATATAAAAAGATACATGCACTACCAAAAATCTAGCACATCTGCAACAGTCATTTACATCAACAACACCCCATTGTCCTAACAACCGCTCTCTGTATTCTCTACCATAACCTGGCCAAAATCATGCTTCAAATTTTCAAAAAACATTAGAAAAACAATTTAACCCGCTACTCATCTCAATGGCTTAGCATTAGTCAGAGAAACATTCAGACACTAACCAGTGCTTCCTCCATAGTTAACATCCGCAAATGCCCAACCTCGACTAGTCCAATATTGTATATTCAAATCCAATATTCCACGTGACTCAGCAGTTGGCCCTCCTGCAAAATTAACAAAGAGTAAAAATAGATCATATGTGCCTATTTATAAATTATATATGCAAAAACTTAATTTCAAGACTCGCGCGCGGAAGAAGCTATAGAAAAGTTGGATCAATGGAATTCAAGATAGAGAAACATGTATGAGCCTCCATCAAATTTCTATGTAATTTTAACAACCAGATAATACTTATTTATATTCCTTATACAAAGACAATGTTTTGCATGTAACTGACAGTTGCAGATTCGGGAAATCCCAACCCAGGTTATTTTTCAGTAGAGAAATCGAAGGTTAGGTAAGGCACTACCCAGATGGTACCCACTCAAAAAAAACTTTAAGATATGGTTTGAAGTTTTCCAGTCGAACTACCCTTATGACCACAAAAAAGAATTTTAATTAAGGAAAATCTATAGGCAAGCAAATACTGTGTTATGAGCAGCAATTTAGATTAAGATGAATCATTATTGACTCGAGGTAGATGATGAGACAATGATAAAAATTAACTAAATATTTTTTATTCAATTATTCTAAGTTGTCATCATCCTAGTCTATTCATCAGCAGATATGGAACCCAACATCCTAACCAAAGAATCCTTATAATAACTATGAGCTGGGTCATATAAAAGAACCTCATAGAGCAAGAGTAATATCATATCAAAAAGAGTAATTAAAAACATGGCCCTGGCTAACTCATAGAAATATAGAGAACAATTTTCAACTTTGCCACGGCTTAGGATCAATTAGAAACTTAACCACATCACAAAATAACAAGAAAACACAAATTCGAGATAAATTGGAACAAAATCTAAATGGAAGCACAATCAAAACAAACAAGAAAAGAATAAAGGAATTTAACATCGAAAAACTGGAGAACGGGAAAAATCACAAAGCCACACAAGTAGAAAAATTTCACTAAAACATCAAAGACTTTTACAAAAAACTCACACCAATTTCCTCTCTACACACAAGGAAACTTACATGACTCACTCCAAAATCCTCTTTCTGCTTAATCCAACACGAGAATCATACAGAATTACCAAAATCCACCACTTCGACTCTTTTCACCTTCGTCGGGAGGAACACAATCGAAGAACATAAAAGAAGAATTCACATAGAAGCACTTCTACGGCTTGAAATCGGGGATGAAATCGAAATCCCATGTTAACTGTTTCGGGCGCATAAGAGCCCGGACTTGGGCGCCTCAACGTCAAGAGCTCTAGTAGCAGGCGCCCCAGCTTAGACAGCCACATTGGGCATCTAAGCGCCTAGAAGGGGGTGCAGGAGCGCCTCTGGTTGTGTAAGCAGCGACCATAGCCCGGCACCGAGCACTCTGTTTGGGGGGAAGTCAGCGCCAGTGCGGGTGTTGGTGCGCCCGAATACCCGCTGCTCATAGGTGTTCCAATCAGGCTCCACAACATAACAATCTCCCACTTAGAATCTGCAGAAAGTCCGGTCCTTTGTACCTGCAACTCCATCTGAATCGCCTTCACCGTGGTCACGTAACATAGTGTGGCTCACCTCCGGTCTCAACAGTCATGAAACTCAACTGAAACCAAGCATAGTTTCAGTTTCTCAATAGTCACTGTTTTCGTCAACATATCTGCAGGATTCTCAACTATGTATCTTCTCCAAGAATAACTGCTCATGTTCTAGAAGAGATCGAATGAAATGACACATCAGCTGAATGGGTTTCATCCTAGCATGAAAAGCAACGTTCTTAGCAAAACGAATCGAGCTCATAATGTCAGTATAGACTTTTCCAATCCCCTGCTCCTTGCCTAATTATGTTTTGAAACTCTATAGCAAAATCATCCCCTTACTAACCTCAGTGATATCAATATATTCGGCCTCCGTAGTTGAAAGTGCAACAATCTTCTAAACCCTAGAAACCCGAATCAACATTGTGTTCCCCAATGTAAAGATATACCCCGTTGTACTTCTACTATCCAAATCTCCTGCCAAATCTATCAAGTGCAATTACTGAATTGTATATTTGCCTGACACTTCAAGTACTCATTGTTTGACATGAACCTGTCCAACCTTCTATACCGATGTCTCAGGGTTTGATTCAAGCCATAAATGTTCTTCTTCAATTTGAAGACCAAATTTTCTTTTCCTGAAACCTTATAACCATGTGGTTCCACCATGTATAGCTCTTCCAGATCTCCATGTAAGAAAGTTGTTCTTATATCCATCTGCTCCAGATATAGATCTTCTTTCGCCACTAGACTCAGTACAACCCTGACAATCTTCATCTTTACCACTGGGGACAAGATCACTATATAGTCCACACCTTCCTTCTGTTGGACACCCTTTACAATAATCCTTTCCTTGTAGCACTTGTTATGATCTGATTCCTTCGTCAGCCTATATACCTACTTGTTGTATAGTGCTCTTTTGCTATATAGTAGAACCATCAAATCCCAAGTCTAATTTGACTCTAATATTACATTTATTCATCCATTGCAAGCTCTCAATCCTTTGAATATTCAACGTGAGTGGCCTCCTCATAGCACTCTGGTTCATCATTATCAAGTAATAACAAAGTGTAAGGAAGGAGAATAAATGTGTACAGGTGGTATCACTCTGCTAGATCTCCTGACTTCAGTAGCAGGTGACTTAGGAACTTTCAATTCTCCTCCGAGTTGAGCACTACTTCTTTCTCTACTCTTTTGATCACCAGTGTTATCTATCTCAACATATATGGATTCTTCAGAAGTAGCTAACAGGCTGTCCTGAGTTATAACCCTGTCCTTGTATATCACAATTTTATTGAAAGTGACGACTCTACTTCTGATGAATTTCTGATACTGATAATCCAAAAACTTGTACCCAAATTCATCTGAGTCATATCTAATGAAAGTGCCTCGATAGATTTCTATTTAAGCTTGCTCCTGGATCGTGCAACAGCATACACACATGCAGAACATTCAAATATTTTTAAATGAAATAGATACCTTTTTGTCATTCTAGACTTTTTCAGGTAAGTCTTCCTATAAGGGTACTGATGGACTACGGTTTATCAGAGAAACTGTTGTATTACTGCTTTAGCACAAACTGTTTTGACAAGTCTGCATGTAATTTCATGCTCCTAACACGCTCCGTGATTGTCCTATTTATATGCTCAGTCACACCATTCTGCTACAGTGTTTTTGGGACAATGAACTTATGTCTGACCGTCTCTATAGTCAAAAATTGTTGAACTTTTGATCACGATACTCGCCCCCGTTAACTGATCTGAGACACTTCAACTTCAAGCTAGTCATCACCATAACCTTCCACTTCGTAATGACTTCAAATACATCAGATTTTTGCTTTCAAAAATAACTTACTTTTCTCGTGTAATCATCAATGAACTTGACAAAATAGCGAGAACCTCCAATGCACTGAAGTGGAGCAGGACCCCATACATCAGTATGCACTAAGTCCAATTTCTTTGATTTCACCACTGATCAGCTCTTAGAAAAAGAAACTTTCTTCTGCTTGTCATATATACAGTCTTCACAGAAATCCAGATCAACTTATTTAAAACCCTGAAGCTTATTTTTAGAAAGTAGAGACTTCATACATTTATCGCTTAAATGGCCAAGCCTACGATGCCACAGACCTGCATCCATTATGGTCCCAGCCACTTCAATGAAATCAATAATTTTATTGATCAGGTAAAGAGTGTCTTCAATGTTGCCCTAAGCCATCACCAAAGCCCCTTTAGTCACCATCTACAAATCATCAGTGAAAGTGATCGTGAATCCTAACTTTGTCAGCTGACTAACAAAGATGAGATTTCTCTTTAAAATTGGAGCATTTCTTACTTCAATAAGCTTCCAGACTGTTTTATTTGGCAACCTGATATCTACATCAACCTTTTGTTACTATGTTGTAGGTCTTGTTGTCTCCCAAATAAACTTTCCATAAATCACTCTAAGTGTAGTTTTCAAATACTTATTTATTGAAACGCGCATGAAAAAGACACTTGAATCTACTATCCAAAATTAATTGCTGACTAGGGATAACACCAAAGTCATTTTAGATTGCACCGATTGAGACGTTTGTAAAGAGATTATTTATTTGTCCTCCACCACCAGCTTTTCTTGGAGCTTTCCGGTCCTTCTTGAAATGTCATTTCTTACCGCAGTTCCAAGATACTCCTCTACTATTTCCTTTGCTTGACCAAGATTATTCTTTCTTGGACTTGGAACTGCCTCTGTCTGTATTCCTAACCAGAATCTTTCTTCTATTATCAGCATTCTACGCAGAACCTGAAAATTCACCATTTGCTATTTTTCTGTGAACTTTTCATTCAGCATCAGACGCACAATGTCATAGAAGTTTAACTTCAAAGTTTCTGAAGAACTACTCATCGTCGTTATCAAACCATCCTAGTTGTCCGACAATGACGATAGTACACCAGTGCTCTGAACTCATCATCAAATTTGATACCCACATAACACAACTGGCTTGTCACATTGTTGAAATTATTGAGATGTTCTGCCACTAAACTATCTTTGACCATCTTCATGTTGAATAACTTCATCAGAAAAATCTTATTGGAAGCAGAATATTTTTTATACATTTTTCTCAACGCCGCCATGAGATCTATCGTAGTTTTCTCATTTACAATATTGAACGCAACAGATGAGAAAAGTGACAACCAAATCAAACTTAGTGTTGCTCGATCAAACAGTTTCCATTCCTCCATAGGCATAGACTTAGGATTCCTGGTAATTCCTTGTAGTGGCAAGTATAATTTTTTCTGATACAACAAATCCTCCACCTGCATCTTCCAGAATGCAAAGTTCATACCATTAAACTTCTCCACTCTGAACCTTGCTTCTTCAATCATTGCTCCGACTCAAATCGAACCTTGCTCTGATATCAGTTTGATAGGAATATAGAGAACAATTCCCAACTTTACCGTGACTTTGGAACAATTAGAAACTAACACACACCACGAAATAACTGGATCGCACAAATTCGAGATAAATTGGAACAAAATCTAAATGAAAGCACATTCAGAGCAAGCCAGAAAAGAAAAAAGGAATTTAACGTGAAGAAACCCAGCAACAGAGTCACGCCAATAGAAAAATTCTACTATTTAAATCAAAGAGTTTTACAGAGACCTCATATCAATTTCCTCTTTAAACATAAGAAAACTTATAGGACTTGCTCCACAATTTTCCTTCTACTAATCCAACACAAAAATCATGCTGAATTATCGTAATCAACATTTTCAAATCTTCTCACCTTCATCGGGAGAAACGTAATCGAAGAACACAATAGAAGAATTCACACGGAAGCACATACAATGTTTGAAATTGAGACTTCAATCAAAATCTCGTGTTAACTGTTCTAGGCGGATAGGCGCCTAGACTTGGGCATTTGAGATCTAATCGCTCTGGAAGTAGGCATCCCCCCCCCCCCAACTCTGCCCAATGGGCGCTTGAACACTCATAGCTCGGCGCTTTGGTGTCAGGCATTTTTTCTGAGAGGAAGTCAGCGCCACTGCGGGCGCTGGTGCGCCCGAACACATGTTACTCGTGGGTGTTCCATTCAGGCTCCACAACATAATACTATGAAAGAACTTCATGCCTTCTCAAGAAAGCTTTATGGATCACAGGTTATAGGCTTGGCAATTGGGATACATTCGACCTTGGCTGTCAGTCAACTTTTTGTAGTGTAGGGGCACATTTTAGACATAAACCCTTGGTCTGAAGGGAGTTTATCATGTCATTCCAGCAATAGACTTTTGAGTGATGATATAGATACACATGATGAGATATTCATTATTTGTAAGTATTGGTGAAACTAAAAATTTTCATACTTACAAACTAATGAGAAGGATAGAAGGATGGCTTCTTCAAGTGAAAAGCAACAAATTAGTCATCGAGCTTTTTGTTTTTCTTTTTAAATCTTAGTTCATTTTTTTAAAGGGGATAGACTCAACAAAAATATCCCCTCTATCATGATTTGCAATACTTATGTCAACCATTAGGAAAAAAGCTTGAAACAAAATTTCTTGTAATTTAAGAAGGCATTTTTATCATCCACAATCACCTTTAATTTTTATAAGGGTTATGATACCTCCAAATGTGCATTGGGTCTTTAGGATATCATTTATCATTTTTAAAATAAGATAGCGATGAGTATTACCAACTCCGTTATTTATCAATAGAAGATTGAGTTCATAAGTGAAGCTTACAACCTGAAAGCTTAAGAAAGCCCAAATCATGTTGATCAAACTAATTGATGCACGTGTTGCAACACCTCTGTGTTAACTCATTGACCATCAAAATTGTACAATATCCTTAAGATCATGTTGATCAAACTAATTGATGCACGTGCTGCAACACCTCTGTGTTCCACAACTCATTGACCATCAAAATTGTACAATATCCTTAAAACATACAAAATCATTATGAAAATTATATAATATGTGCAAATTTGTACAAGCCCATTGTGCATGTATTTAACTTTGGAGTTTTTGATGAAATTCTAACCATTATGCTAAAGGATGCTTTGATGTTCAGGAATTCAACTTCATTCGACTTGAGGGGCGTTTCACAGTTCCTTAACTCTTATATTAGACTACATGGATATCATTGAATTCAAGAAACTCTGATCGCATTTTTGGTGGATATCTACTAGATAAACAAATTATCTTTATTGGAATAATGTTAAATTTATCAATTCACCTTGTTTAGTTGGGATGTTTACTTAATCTTCAAAGACATGGGTGGGCCATGACAAATGGTATTAGAACCAAGGTATATTTTTTATTTTGAATTTACGTGTTATTTATAAGATTTGTGTTAGAATTGATTGATTATCTTTACATGATAAAATAAATGGAGACAACTTTTACATTTAAATGTTAAATATTACAAGCATTGTTGGATTTTGATATAATAGTTAAGGTCACGAAAATTCATTATATATGATTTTAAAAGACCCATTTTTAAAGTTCTCAGTTTCATAGGTCATAGATTTGAGCATGGAGCTGATCATAGTTTATTAGCATTTTCAGATGTCAACAAAAGCGCCTAGTAACATATCAAGGCTGCATGAAAAGAATTGATAAGTTGATATGTGTATGCAGATGTTCATTGGGGAAATTAAATAATTGAAAAGCTATCTTATTTTCATTACTCATATTTTAGTGCGATTTAGAGATTACATGAAGTGGGGAGGAGAGTGATAATCCTTCTTTTGTTAATACAACAACAACAACAAGCCTTCATCCTACTAAGTGGGGTCATCTACATGAATCCTTATTCTACATTATGTCCTATTGAGTGTCATATTTTCATTTAATTCTAATATATTAAGATCATTTTTTATACAGTATGTTCAAGTCTTTTTAGGTCTATCTCTGCTCTCTTAACATAAGTCAAATCTAAAACATTTACTCTCCTAACTGGATCACCAGATGATCAACATTTAATGTGACCAAGCCATCTAAAATGACTCTCACTAATCTTGTGCGCCAATAGAGTTACACCAGCCCTTCTTTTGCTAATAAATAAGAAAAATTAAAACTAGAGGATTCAAATAAATAAGATAGTTCACCTTTCTAATTTAAAAAAAAAAGATAACTTGGAATGGGATTCATCAAAGTCTATTAGCTGGAAAGCTTAGAGATAAACATGAGAACTTTGAGATTGCTGAGATGGATAATTATGCCGGCAAGTGCCCAGTTCAAACAAAAAAACAAAGCAAACAGGAAACTAGTGCTGACAATCAGTTCAGCTTCTGTAACTGCGCAGAAAAAAAATTAAAACTAAGTAGAAAACTATCACGCTATGAAAATCTATTGTGGCAAATACGAATCAATTAAAATAATCCCTAAAACCAAAACCAAATTTGATTTAGCAGGTCCACTTTGATTGGAAAAACTTATGGACATTTGCGGGCATTCACTCTTAATAATCCAGCCCATTTTAAGCAAGGAAGAGGGGTGTGGTTCTGAATTGCAGTAAAAGCTTGACCGACCTCTGGAATCACTTAATTTTTGCTAGAAGAAAAATAAGGCATTAAGATTCCATGAACATTAAAAATTATGTGAATTACTCAAAGATAATCGCACCCATCAATGGAGAAGTTATGAAAAATTGGAGGAACAAAGAAGAGTTAAGACATGCTGCACTGAAGAAGCGGCAAATTTTATACCATGGCTTTTGACAATTAAGGGTGGCTTTTCATCAGCAGAAGCTTGATAATCAGGATTAGACGGGGGGTAGAAATATGCATAAGCATCTTGGCCAGACTCTGTAGAAAATTTCACTATCTCTGGCGAACTAAAATATGATCTGTATTTTGCAGCATCTTCTGAAGAAGACCAAATTACTGAGAACAATGGTACTTGCGCATTATTACTATCCAGCGTGATCTGTAAATTATGGAAAAGTGCTATAAAGAAATTGACAGTGGTATGACTACATAAAGGTTGCCTGATATGAGATTTATGTTCAACCTTTACAATAGATATTGGGTGTGTTGCAGATGCTCCTTCAATAAAAATACAGTTAGATCCAGCAACCTGTTCAAATGATAAGTAACCCAAACTAACACGCTTATTTCCACGGAGGTAAGGCTTGAAACAATGAATTAGTAAAACTATTACAAAATGAAAGCTACAAGAGGACAATTATAGAGGATCCAAGCTTACAATATTGCCAACATCAGTAAAAGGAGTATCAAGAGCTGAATATGATCCCTTAACATGGTTCAAAATTCCCAAAAAAGATCTCCCATTCTGCCTGAAAAAAAATTGCAAAATACAGTTAGCATGTATCTTGGATTCTTCAAAACGGGAAAATTATGCTCTTTGAGTTTTATATCAGTATTTATGTAAAATATGTAGAACCTGTAGCTGCAAACAATACTGTGATGTTCTTCAACTCCAAGAAAATCATAAGAACTGATTCCAAAACCCCACAGTGGTCTAGTAAACTCTGCTTCTAGTGAATAAACCGGTGTCACCTCATTTTTTATTTCATTCTGTCACAAAAATAAATAAGACACAAATTCCTCCCAGAATAAGGAATACTATAAAGGAATGGCGCAGTAGTAAACAAATTTACTTTAGAGCTACACATCGTTGGAAAAAAATTCTAAACCTCAACTCCAATGATAAGCTTCTTGCTACAAGAAAACAAAATGAATGATCAACAGATAGCTGATTCAGATCATTAATTTTACAAGTTCAAAATTCATTGTGGTGCGTTAGAAGTTTCTATCATGCAGTAGTTCCAAAATCGTGATTTCAACTCTGCTTGCTTTCTTTTCCTTTTTTTTAGATGATAATGAATGTAGGTTTCATTTCAAAGTAATTTAAGATTTTAATTCCTTAAAAATAAAAGGCTACATGCCCCAACTAAATTTTGCTTTTAGCATTTTTTTAGTTTGTTTTGTTTTTTTTTAACAGGAAAGTAAAGCACATTTGATACGCTTCTGATCGTTCTATTTTTGAAAACAAAAAATAAAAAACATGTTAGATGTTCAAATGCATTTTTGGTTTTTAAAAATAAAATAAAAAAATATACCTTTTTTGAATTATTCAAACAAAAGATAAGGGCTATGTGTTTATATATCTGTCACCTAAACTTCCCTTTTAACATTTATACTAAAAAAAATAAATTACATAGAAATAGTATTACTGGTGGGTTATATAAAATAAAATATATATTTTAATACCTAGATTACAATGTATATATTATTTAATATTGAATTGTTATAAACATAAATATTAAATTTGTGATATTATATAGATAAATGTATAAAATAAAACTATGATTTCTATGTAAATTCGCATAACTAAATACAATGAACAACTAGGGAAATTTACATAGCACCCAATTTTTATTTCTTTACATATCTCACACTTAAGCTTTCATATTTACATATATTGCATTTTGGTTCTTTAAATCTATGCATGGAAATTTATATTCCACTTTTAAAAAGTAATAAGTGTTATTTTTTTATATGATATTAAATATTTCCGTGTTATATGTGTAAATATGAAAGTTTAGATGTAAAATATGTAAATACATGAGAACTGTGTGCTATGCATGTAAATGCCCCTTAAAAGAAAATTAAAATATAAGAAATAGCCAAACAGATACATGCCTCAAGTGAGGGAAAGAAAACGACGCGAAGCCGCTCCCCCACAAAACTCCATTTCTCTCCCTCTTTCTTTCCCTCTCTTCTCCTCTACCACTCCCTACAACGGATACAAATCAGCGAACCTACCTCTTCTCTTTTCTCCAGCATTGTCGGTGGCAAGAAAGACAAAATGAAACATGTGTAATTGCCCGCAGCGAACAAGAACGGCGTTCATTGCGCTTGGAGAGAATGCGATGGAATGAGGATGTGGTCCCTGAGGATGTGAGCGAACACGGCGACCAAAGAAATTCACCAGAACAAGCAATCAAAATGAACAGAGATATGGGACGGTATCGCGGCTCAAGAAAAGTGTTTTATAAACAACAAAAGCATAACTTTTGTGTTTTAGTGTTTTTTGAAATTGTTCAAAAACACACATTTAAAAAAAAAAAAACATTAAACAAATGCATTTTCCGTTTTTTTCTATTAAAAATAAAACATAAAACATAAAACAAAAACTGTTCCAAACAGGCCCTCAAGCTACTTGAGAGTAAAAGATGACTGCATAGCATTTACAGCTTAGAATCTCAAAGATTACTTCAGAGAAATGCATCCAACAGCAACGTTCCGATTCAAGATGGCTCATTTGAACCCAAGTATTGGAATAAATAATTCGTCAGAATAATTTTTCAACCTTACAGCACGCATGCTATAGAAGCCTACTTTGGACACCAGAAAAAGCCAAAAAAAGAAAAGGTGAAATTGGGTGGAGTATCGATGACCAATATGTAAACCAAAACTTAAGAAGCTTTAGAGAAAGGATTAGTTAGGTTTACAAATTTATTAGAAATGCATTGGAACCCAAAGATACAAGCCGACGGAATCATGATCCCACACAGTTAGCATAAAAAAAAATCAAGATCCTATGGATTAATGCAAATAAAAGAAATTAGGATACCAAGAATACCTGCTGTAAGCTCTAAATTTAAAATTTGCATATTATATAGTTGTAGATATTTTCCCATTTTCAGGTGAACTATGTTCTTTTTTTTCTTTCTACACCAGTCTATATACTGCATTGAATAAAATACTTAGACAAAAGCATCATTCATTAGCCATCCTATGTTCATACACCAAAATAGAATGAGCTTATTAAGAGAAAAATGGCCGCCAACTCAAAAATCACTCGGGCACTATTATTTCAAGGAATTATTCCTAAAACATATTAATGGGAAGCTGTTCTAATTGCAAATAACATGATAAATAAACTACATTCAAGAACTTTAGAATTTAAATCCTCCATGGAGTGTTTTGTCAAAATCTATCCAAATTTCTAACCTTCAACTGGCATCACACCAAGAAAATTATCAAAAGCGGGCATCTGCGACCATTGTGATGCGGGAGCAGTTTGCGGAAATCAAATCCCAACTTACAGTAATGCAAGAACAAAAAAAAATTTCAATCCCTTGTACGCAAGATTTCCGTCCTGTTAACATCGAGGGAAAAATTTTGGCATGCAACTAAAACGCTTCCCTGCGGACCTTCTTTTTTAAATTATTTGAAATTTAATTAGAATTATTTTGCTTCCAACTATTTCTATGTTGTTATTTTCTAGATTGAGGACTTCTATTTTTAGTTCATGTATTTGGATATTGTGTATTTTGATTTGTTTGTCCTAAGAAGAGTCCTATCCTCTATATATAAACAAAGCCCTACCTGCTCCCGCCTAAGGATGTTATAACCATTCCCACACCATACTATTAGAAAACTCACGCATGAAATTAAAAAAAAACAACAGGCGAGAGACAAGAGCCATCTTTTCTGTTTGAACTTGTTGAGAAATTAGGGCAAAAAAAAACAAAAATCGACACAAATCCAGAAGAACACACGGAGATTTAACGAGGTTCCTCGGGAGCAAAGCGGTGGCTTTCTTTTCAACTCCAAAAAAAGAGTACAAAATAGAATATCAAACCACTTAGGGTTACAATAGAGCCTATATATATAGCCCTAGAGTACAATATGTAATTATAAAATTACTCATGTACCGTACCGAAGGGCGTTGCCCCTGCACCCCCAACCCACGTAACAAAACTCCTCTGATTTGACAGATTCTTCCTCTCCGCTTCGTTCCAACATCTGTCCCTTATATGTATATGAGTCATACCATAACAAATCTCCACCTTAGCGAATATTAAACCCATTAGGAAAAATACATCATAGAGTTTCTTACAGACTGAAGTGAGTTGGGTCACCCTGCTTATCTAGCAACTGCAAACATTCAACAAGTCTAGCCAATACAAGAACTTGTTGATAGTAATTGACTTAATCAACATATCAGCTGCATTTTCATCAGTATGAACCTTCTGCAACAGTATCTAACCAGAAGCAATCAATTCTCTGATCTTGTGATACCTGACATCAATATGTTTGGTTCTCACATGGTACATCTTCTGGTTCTTAGCCAAATAAAATAGCACTATGACTGTCACAATGCAACTAAACTCCACCTTGCTCAACGCCCAGTTCTTTTACTAACCCAACAAGTCATAAGACTTCTTTTACAGCTTCAGCTATTGTCATGTACTCAGCTTCAGTTGTAGATAATGCCACAATAGACTGAATAACTAAATTGTTGATTTCCAACATATATGTCATCCACCAAGAGTAAACACATACCCAGTTGTGGACATTTCGTCATCCAAATCACCTGCATAGTTTGAATCAACGTACCCCACAACTAAATGATCATTCAAATGATCATTCTTGATCATTCTGCTGACTGCCAAAAATAATTTCATGTCCTACAGTACCCTTCAGATACTTGAAAATCCACTTTACTACTTCCCAATGTCGTTTTCCAGGTTTATAAATGTATTTTCAGACTTGGCTAACAGCATGAGCCAAATCAGAATAAGTACATACCATTGCATACATTAAACAGCCAACTGCACTGGCATATGAAACATTTACCATGTCTTCGATTTTTTTTGTATCTATCTTAGGACACTGTTCTGAAGAAAGCTTAAAATGATTTGTCAACGGAGTGCTCACAGGCTTTGTTTTGCTCATCTCAAACATTTCCAAAATTTTTTCAATATAGTCTCGTTGAGAAAAACATAATCGTCTTAAGTCTCTATCTCGATGAATCTTCATTCTAAAAATCTTCTTCATAAGACCCAAGTCTTTCATGTCAAATTTCTGGCTCAATAAAGTTTTCAAACAACGGACATCATTCATATTTTTTGTAGCAATCAGTATATCATCAACATACAGTAACAGAAAAATAATAAAATGATAATCAAGGCTCTTCACATAAACACAATAATTATACTTACATCGCTTGTAGTCAATCTGAATCATGTAGGAGTCAAACCACTTGTATCATTATCTTGGAGACTATTTCAACTCATAGAGTGATTTCTTTAATCTGCAAACCAGATGTTCCTGTACAGGTTGAGTGAACCCTTCTAACTGCTCCATGCTAATCTGCTCCATTAAGTCAACACGCAAGAAAACAGTTTTAACATTCATCTACTCCAAATGCAAATTCCAAATAGTTACTAAAGCAAGCACTGCCCTGATTGAAGTAAGTTCAACTACAGGAGAAAAGCTTTCATCATAATTTATCCCCTTTTGCTGTGAAAATTTATTTGCTACTAGTCGAGCCTTGAATTTTTCCCCTTCTTTTTCTGATACTGTTGGTTTCCTTTTGTACACCCATTTGCACCCAATAGTCTTCTTTCCCTTAGGAAGCTGAACTAGCTCCAGTGTGCGATTTTTCTGTAAAGTCTCCATATCCTCAACCATTTCACCCATTCATTTCTCTTTCTCTTGGCTAGTAATAGCTCCTTGGAAAGTGGCTAGATCATCGTTGCTGATGAGAAGTGCACAAGAGA